TCAGGATCAAATGTCAAAAACGGTTTAATATTATTTCATGAAATAATAGCTGCCATCTTATTTATCCCTTTGTGGACTGATGATTTTTGCTATGAGGGATTTCTTTAGGATTTTTTAAGTGATTTGCCTGCAAAGAGAAGGTAATGTTCATTTCATATGCAGAACTGAATATTTAATATTTCTTTTAAAATTAGTCAAGTAACAAAGGTGTACATGCTACTTGAGAAAATTGTTTAGGATGTTGTTATTATCTCGCAAATATCTGATAATTTAATTTTTTTATCTTTTATTTCTAATCAACATTTTAATCGACTTTAAACATGCCAAGCAAATATCTAGCGGAAAGTTAAAAAAGTTGTACTTTTGATGGCAGGAATTCATAGCAACCTATGTCACTGCATGACAAGATGTCCGACATGACAACTGTAAATCATCCTGAAATGGTTAACATGAAACCAAAGCATTTTTATGTAATTTCCACCTGTGAAACTCGCCCCTTTTGGGGGGTTATTTCACAAGTTCAGTTAATAACAGCTTGCTAGTTTTGACCGTACTTTCTTAAAGGTCAGTTTTAAAAAAAATGTTAAACTTTAGTATCAAACATTGACATACAGCCATTGATTTATAACTGAAATGGTGAGAGAAATATTTAGAGTACATTACTTTTCATATGATATGAGGTGGATATACTGCAGATTGTTTTACTTAGGTTCTGTGTTGTCAAACTTGAATATGTTCTGGCCCCTGTTGTCAAAGTGGTATTTATTACCAGGAACTACTGAAAGGGTATATCTTTTTAACTGAAACCTGCAGGAGATAAATCATTCCTGGAGAGCACCATTGTCAGTTGCTTGTATTATTGTATGCTGTACTTAAGGGTTACCTCTACTGGCAAATGTTTGCTGTATTGTTGTCATAATTTGTTTGTGTTGCACTAAGGTTCAAATACAGGTATCTTGGCATATTGGATAATTGTTGTTTTGTTCTGTGAAAACAAATTAGTTATTATGCCTCGACTTGTGCCACGCCTTGGGGCGTAGAATATTGGAGTATTGAAGTCTTTCATTTGTCATGGGCAAAGTGATTGACATCTGGAAGTGGAGTGGCATTCTATACATCTCAATTTTGGGATGCACCAATCTGAAATTCATCAATAAGGCGACAAAATAGTGATGATAGCAAATATATTCGCAAAAAGTTAAGCGAAACCTGTCCAGCCATTGTCATCCATCGCAAACACATGCAAAGGCAAGCGAAGTGTTCACCTTATAAAACACAGGAACCTATGGCACAAGTCAAAATAAGGTATTGCATCGGAATAGTAAGGCTGCATTATGCTGCCTAAAAAGACATAACTTAATGTACTAATAAAGCAGCAAACCCCTTTCCATAGCCAATAGAAATCCGACTACAAATATCATGAGCATGTGTTTATGAATCACTATAAAATAGTAATGATACCAGATCAGGTGTTGGCGAAAAGGTGAACATATCGTGCTCCATAAGTGGACCCGTCACAAACACACGCAAAGGCTAGTCAGTTGTACACCAGACAAACACATGGTACAAGTCATAATCAGGAATTGCATCTGACATCATTTTTGTCACTGATTAGTCAAATTTGGAAATCGCCTCCACATGTCTACCATTAAACCTTTTCAAAGCCTTACTGAGGCCTTGCATGTTGTAACCTTGATCAAACAACTTGAGCAAGAGTCGTATGACGCTCTTTGAAATCATGGCAGAAAGAGCAGGCTTGATTGTATGTCAAAAGTTGCGAAAAAGTGAACACCAAAGGCTGGAGCTGCTGAAATATTGCTCGACAAAATGAAGGGAAAGTTGAAGTCATCCCTCTTGTCATGCATCTTATTGAGAAAGTTGTCACGCTAAATCTTTATGCATAGATCTAAATATGCAACAGACGAGGCGGTCTCACTGGTCTTTTTCATTTCTAGTTCAGGTGGGTAAATCAGTGGAAGGGAATTGGCTATTCGATTGTTATTGAAGATATAAGATTATCAATATAGCTGAAGCTTAAGTTCTTGGCAAAAATTGCCTTGTTTTGACTTTGCCAAATCGAACAAATTCCGATTCATATGCATGACGAAACATCTAGACGAAGGGAAGCACCATTGCTCAAAGGTGAATTTTGTGGGGGTTTTTTTTTCGAAAACACTTTTTTCAATAAAAGTACCAGAATGGAGGAGTGCAAATAACCTGCAACTTATTTTTGGAGGGAAATGTTGACTTATGGAAACGAGTCATCATAAGATAACAATCCCTCCTGACAACAATTCTTGAATACCAAAAGGCACCTCTTCAGCCCTTGTTTAAAACATGTTTGATTAAGTCTTTTACAGTCGAGATTGTTTCCATGGAAATGGAGAAAAATAAAAAAAATGCCAAAAATCCACAAACAGAAAAAGGCACCACCTCAGGTTCTGTTTGCTACAGCTGCCAATATTCGTTGAAACATATACAGTTATCCGACGTTTGGTACGAAATGACGGACAGACATACGACTCGTACACTATCTCCCTCTGCATTATATTATAACAAGAAGAAAGACCGATAAAACGACTAAGGGTGTAACTGTTGTGTAACGAAAGAGTACCACTTAATAACCATCCTCTAAATTTAAGACAAGCGTTTCTCAATACCATACATGTTAATAATCACAGTAAACCCCGCTTCTTGGGATTTCCAGTGATCTAATTCATGTACATGTACTTCAGGATAGGATTTTGTCAGCATACATTAGAGTGAAGTAGTATAGAGACGGTTGTGCTTGTCCATTCTTACAATAAACAGGATTCATGGGCTTCTTGTATAAAAAGGAGGCATTAGTAATCTATTTGGTGAATTGTATTATCAAAGAAATTGAAGGAATGTCCTCAAGACATGTCTTTCTTCTAACAGTTGTTTGGTCTTAAAAATAGGGGACGACACATAAAAAGAGTCACAGTTGTTATTCTCAGCAATATCAGTTGGAGATGCTGTACATAATTTGCAAGAAGATAGAACTCAGCCTTGTTACATTAAAGGTGTAACAACACAACACTCAAACATGTAATTACAGATATAAAAGTAAGGACATAGAAAGGATCTCAGAATGTTACACAGACGGACCCCAGAATGTCACACACAAAGGGTGGTTCTCATAAGGAAGTAAAATGTCAAGTGACATTATATCTACTGCAGATGGTTTGTGGTGATATTTCAGTGATGACTGTATTCCAAGTTGGCAAGAGAATCTTGTATCCAGTTCCTATACCTCTCATAGCATTCCTTCTGGTGGTTCTCATAACGTAGTCCTGCGTCAAGGAGGCGTGAAGGATTTGACAAGTAGGTATATGTACGTGTGTGTGTGTGTGTGTGTGTGTGTGTGTGTGTGTGTGTGTGTGTGTGTGTGTGTGTGTGTGTGTGTACACAATGATGTAGTTAAACATTAAATAAATGTAACTTGCAATATGAGGCAAAGTTCACTCTATACCTAAAGCGTCAACACCTTGATGAGTAGCCACGAAGCAGTAAATGCAGTCAGCATTTAGTTAACATATACGGAAACAAGAAAATCCTATACTTTTCGAACTACACTATGAACAATAATACACATTAGGTTAGGTGACGAGGATATGAATAAACACGTGTCACTGTTTGATGACACATTTAAGCCTAAAAGTTAGTAGCCATCTCAAACTCGCTTAATTTTTAATGATGTAAGTGCTATTTTTATCTTTGCCGAATGAAGGCAATTGTAGAACATTGTAGCATTTTAATCTGGTTTAATTATTTTTGTCTCTCAAAATAAACTGAATGCATTTGTAGATTTATAACATGTTTACTAGCCAAATGTCAATGTGAACGTACAGATGTGAGATGTAAATAAATACGGCATGGCATCTCCGTGGACTGTCACAATGAACCCGGAAGTAGTCCTGACTAGTACAAGCACAGGCTCTCTCTCTCTCTCTCTCTCTCTCTCTCTCTCTCTCTCTCTCTCTCTCTCTCTCTCTCTCTTTAGCCGCCTCAGTTTCGACTGAAAGTGTGATCCACAAACAATACGTTTTCTTCCGCATACGGACCTTGACCTTGTGATTGATATATCTTGGCCTTGGGTCGTTTTGACAGGTTTGGGCGTTGTCCAGTTTGCTACGTCACAAAGAGCGAGATAGCCGGGAACAACTGCTTATTGAACTTGACCTGCCGTCTAAAAGAAGAGTTCCTGTTGTCAAATATTGTCAAATATTGGCTCGAACACGCGTCCCTAAATAGAGACACATTCAGAGTATGTTTTGCTTGTTGTTTAACACTGCAATTAGCAATATTCCAGCTATATGACAGCGGCCTGTAAATATCTTGGACTAGACAATCCGGTGATTGATAATGCGTCGGGGTACGATGACACACAAGTCAGCCAGGTCACCAGGCATTACCACTCGAGCCTGGTCACCTCCTACGGCCAGCAAAGGTTCCTGGGGACGAATATTAACCCGGACTACTCATGGAGACATTCAGAGAATGACGGCGCCACAGAAGGAGCGAGTATGGTTTTACGCCGCTTTTAGCAATATTCCAGCAATATCACGGCGGGGGACACCAGAAATGGGCTTCACACATTGTACCCATGTCGGGAATCGAACCTGGGTCTTCAGCGTGACGAGCGAACGCTTTAACCACTAGGCTCCCCGACCGCCCCGACACAGAAGGAAGCAGGAGAGGACACTACACCAGTGCGGTCTATATTAATCCCATGACGAGGAACAGAAAATAACCCTGAGGGATTCCCACCACGTTGTTGTACAGAGCAGTCAAGGAAAACCCGGGTGATGAGATCATCTGGGTGATTCCAACAATCACTTGTCAGCAAATGTTTCAGTCACTGTAGCTTCACCATAAGCGACATCAGACACTAGCAGGCTCGCCCTAGGAGATTTTGGTTAAAGTTGACAACTGTCTCAACTGGACATTCGAAAATATAAAAATTATTTATTTTTTTATTTATTTCAAACCTATAAACGTACATATCATACAAGAATGTCAGGGTCTGAATCTAGCTTCACCCACAACACCACAACAACGTCGGAGCCGCCACCTTCACGACGACATCGTTCACGAGCGTTGCTCTATATCATCTTTGCCGTCTCACTGATCTTCAATGTTGTTTTAGCTGTCACCTTCGGCATCCACACGCTGAAGCCAAGATTGTCTCACCAAAGGAACACGGACGCATCTTCTGTTCAGCCTGACCATGTGGGGTCAAATGCTGATGTGTGTTTTACTTGTGGTCAGCTGGGTCCACTGGTCGAATCTCAGGACACTCCCTATGACGTCATTCGAACCTCTGCGCATCATTTATGCTGTCAAAGAAAGACGTCACAGAAATGTTCAAGAAGGTAATTCTATAAATACACAACTTATACCGTCTTATTACACTCTTTGCTGGTTGTATGTTTATTGATAATATCAGTTAGTGGAGAATAGTCGAGTTGATATATTTAATGTTCCCCTTTGAGGGAAGGCGGGTGGTCATCAGCATCTCTCATCTTATTTAATTTGTACAAAAACATGTTTTCCAATCTTCCATCAACAGTAAATTCATTGATCAATCAATCCTTTCTGATATAACTGGTTCTATTTATCAGCGAAGTGTGCTATTTTTGTAACAAACATACATGTTCTTCCTTCCGTGTTTAAATTGAGAATTTCAAGGAAGCGTAACTGAGGAAATCAATAACTTACTTATCTCGAAAGTATTCCTTGTCTGTCCCACTTTTGTGGTTGTTATTTTGTTTTTTAACGCCGCACTCAACAATACGAGTGTTCCGGTCTGTAAATAATCGAGTCTACACTAGATAACCCAGTGACTGACATCAAGAGCATCGATCTATACAATTGGGATAGGATAACATGCACCAACCGAGTCAGCTGGTCTGACCACCACATTCCCGTTAGTCGCCTGTTACGGTAATCATGGATTTGCTGAAATCTCTCTCTCTCCCTCTCTCTGTCTCTCTCTCTCTCTCTGTCTCTCTGTCTCTCTGTCTCTGTCTGTCTGTCTCTCTCTCATTCTCTGTCTCTCTCCCTCTCCCTCTCTCTCTATCCCCCTCTCTCTCTCTCTCTCTCTCATGGTATCTGCCAATGGAAACTGTTTCGTCGGACGATACAGCATGGTTATTGTCTGGCTTTAAGGTTTTATATTAAATAGTGAATTGCAGTACACTATATTTCCGATGATCGTAGACGAGTTCTCCAGACGAACATCAGGTTTGTAAAATTAATACATCAACCCTGTTAATTGTAGCTATGTCAAGTCGTCATGTCATATTCCAATGTGTCTTAGTGTAGTTTTCAAGACACTAAGCGACCTTTATAAATTTAGTACCATACATTTAAATATTCCTTCCCCAGTACATTCTAATGAGAGTGTGATAATCAATTCCCCGTCTCTTGTTATTTCTGCTGAATTGAATCTTTGACATCAATTCGTGATAATTAAAATAAATAATAAAATAACCATGAAGGTGAGTGAGTGAGTGAGTATGGTTTTACGCCACTTGTAGCACTTAAAAGCAGTATCACGGCGGGGGACACCAGAAATGGGCTTCACACATTGTACCCATGCCGGGAATCGAACCCGGGATGTCGAACGCTTTAACTACTGGGCTACCCACCGCCCAATACCCATGATAAGTAGCATGTGCCTGTGCCGTGATTAAATCACAGTATGATGGCGTCACGCTATTGTTGCTGCAGACCCGTGAAGATCCGGGTTAGAATAGGTCTTCAGCAACCGATGCTTGCTGCAAAAGGCGACTATGCTTGTCGTAAGAGGCGACTAACGGGATCGGGTGGTCAGGCTCGCGGATTTGGTTGATGCATGTCATCGTATCCCAATTACGGGGATCGATGTTCATTATGTCAATCACTGGATTGTCTGGTCCAGACTCGATTATTTACAGACCGCCGTCATATAGCTGGAATATTGCTAAGTGCAGCATCAAACAGTAAACAAACAAACAAACACATTGTTGCTGCAGTTGATTCTGGGCCAGCTATTCACTTGCAATCAGAACATGCATTTTTAAAAAGGAAAACTGACTTAACATGCCATTTACGCAAAATTATAGAGAAAGTAAATATTCTTCTTAAAATAAATTACATAACACCCGCCTTCGTCATATGACTATAGTTAGTTTGTCATGTGTGGTGGGATGTTGGTGTTCTTTAACATATTTTGAGAAGTATATCAGCCATAAATATTATGTTTTGCGTTATCAACTCGAAAACTGTTGGATATATTTTTTGATGGGTTCTGTTATCAGGGTCGGACCAATTGGACCCTCATGCCATAAAGACGGGCAACCGTGACGTCATTCACTCAGGATCCACAGGGGCACATCTAGTCATGGTTCCAATCAAAGGTACAGTCATACCGCCTTTCTAGGGGGGCACGTGTTGCCCGCTCATCCTAGGTACAGTCATACCGCTTGTCTAGAGGGGCACGTGTTGCTTTCTTATACTAGGTACAGTCATACCGCTTGTCTAGAGGGGCACGTGTTGCCCGCTCATCCTAGGTACAGCCATACCGCTTGTCTAGAGGGGGCACGTGTTGCCCGCCCATCCTAGGTACAGTCATACCGCTTGTCTAGAGGGGGCACGTGTTGCCCGCTCATCCTAGGTACAGTCATACCGCTTGTCTAGAGGGGGCACGTGCTGCCCGCCCATCCTAGGTACAGTCATACCGCTTGTCTAGAGGGGGCACGTGTTGCCCGCCCATCCTAGGTACAGTCATACCTCTTGTCTAGAGGGGCACGTGTTGCCCGCCCATCCTAGGTACTGTCATACCGCTTGTCTAGAGGGGGCACGTGTTGCCCGCCCATCCTAGGTACAGTCATACCTCTTGTCTAGAGGGGCACGTGTTGCCCGCTCATCCTAGGTACAGTAATACTGTTTGTCTAGAGGGGCACGTGTTGCCCGCTCATCCTAGATACAGTCATATAGCTTGTCTTGAGAGGCACGTGTTGCCCGCTCATCCTAGGTACAGTCATACCTCTTGTCTAGAGGGGGCACGTGTTGCCCGCTCATCCTAGGTACAGTCATACAGCTTGTCTAGAGGGGCACGTGTTGCGCGCTCATCCTATGTACAGTCATACCGCTTGTCTAGAGGGGCACGTGTTGCGCGCTCATCCTATGTACAGTCATACCGCTTGTCTAGAGGGGCACGTGTTGCCCGCTCATTCTAGGTACAGTCATACCGCTTGTCTAGAGGGGCACGTGTTGCCCGCTCATCCTAGGTACAGTCATACCGCTTGTCTTGAGGGGCACGTGTTGCCCGCTCATCCTAGGTACAATCATGCCGTTTAACTAGAGGGGCACGTGTTGCCCGCTCATACCAGGTACAGTCATACAGCTTGTCCAGAGGGGCACGTGTTGCGCGCTCATCCTAGGTACAATCATGCCGCTTGTCTAGAGGGGCACGTGTTGCCCGCTCATCATAGGTACAGTCATACCTCTTGTCTAGAGGGGCACGTGTTGCCCGCTGACCCTAGGTACAGTCATACCGCTTGTCTAAAGGGGCACGTGTTGCCCGCTCATCCTAGCTACAGTCATACCTCTTGTCTAGAGGGGCACGTGTTGCCCGCTCATCCTAGGTACAGTCATACCGCTTGTCTAGAGGTGCACGTGTTGCCCGCTCATCCTAGGTACAGTCATACCGCTTGTCTAGAGGTGCACGTGTTGCCCGCTCATCCTAGGTATAGTCATACCGCTTGTCTAGAGGGCACGTGTTGCGGGCTCATCCTAGGTATAGTCATACAGCTTGTCTAGAGGGGCACGTGTTGCCCGCTCATACTAGGAACAGTCATACCGCTTGCCTAGAGAAGCACGTGTTGCCGCTCATCTGAGGCGCCACAATTCGTCGGTAGAATTGCGTCCCTAAGACATGCCAAACATCTGTGATCGTAGGTTCGAATCCCGGTTCGTCCAGATTATAGGTTTCTAGGTTTGTCTGCGCCATACCAGTGCTAGCTGGTTTCACCAAAGTGGTAAACGTCTTAGACCTGCTTGACTTCGGGCTTTCCTTTCACGTTCAGCTGACACGTCGTGATAAAACTGGAATATTGTTCATAGCAGCGTTAAACCCAACTTCTCAACCAGTCGTGTCTATTTGTAGTCTTATTCACTTGCCGCAAGTTAAGCCCTTAGAGGAGTAGCCATCATTCAAGTAAGAATTTGTAAATATATATTTCAGACCATGTATTCAATGTTGATCGCGATTGAATAACGTAAGGAGATGCATGTGTATCTGTTATGTTTGACATCGGTAATACAACCTAAAATCCTGCTGACTCACGTTAATGCCTTCACTATGAGCATTCATTTAACGCCTGTAACAAGGACAAATCTAACAACTTTGTCAAAGACTATTCTGACGTATTTGTCCTTTCCCAGGGTCGCCGCCAGCATGGACAGCCCACGATGACTACCACATGACCTTCTGTGCCAATGTCGCATGCGATAACGGAACGATCTGGGTACGAGACGCTGGGATCTACCTCGTGTACTCGCACATCACACTTAACGTGACACGTGGCTCCACATACACCATCTTCACACACAGAATGCAACTTACCAGACGGAACATGCCTCCTAAACAGCTTCTGATGAGTAAGACCTCATTCACACGAACAGCATCTCCACAGCGAAACTCTTTTCTCGCCGCCGTTTTGAAACTCGAAGAACGCGATTCCATCGGCGTCCACATACCTGATCAAAACACTGATCTGGTCGAGAAGGGTGGGTTTTCAAACTACATGGGTATATTCAAATTGTGAGGTGAGGTTGGGATATGAGGAATAAAGACTATTATTGCACTTTTATAGCAACGTGAGAATGTTCACCATGGATGTCTTGCCATCCTGACACTGGTATAGCTTTGTTGTTGTTTTTCAATGGATACATTTTGTATGTATTTAAGATTGCATGTGAACTATTTTCTGTAAACTTATTGATTGTGTACTCCAAAAAGAAATAACATAACCCACAAAAAACATTAAGTGGTACACATTGGACATATCTTTTCTTAACGTACATACTTCCCTATATGTTGCTACAAATGGTTCGCATTTATTTTCTTCCATACATATATATACTGCCATCAAAGAATCAATGTTAGACTCTGAAGTAAAAAAATAGTTTTTAGAACAAACATGTTTGCAGCTGCAACAATATGCGAAATTCAAGGTATAAAACTGCTCACACACACACACACACACACACACACACACACACACACACACACACACACACACACACACACACACATACACACACTATGCTTTACCTTTTCTTCTTCTAGTATAGCTTGGGGCGGTCGGGTAGCCTAGCGGTTTAAGCATTATCACGCCGAAGACCCGGGTTCGATTCCCGACATGGGTACAATGCGTGATATTGCTGGAATATATTGCGTCAAACCATACTCACTCACTCAATCAAGTATAGCTTACAGTTACTAGATAGATTATATAGCACTTTCTACTCTTTTCAGGCCTTAAATCCTTCTTTCAATATTCACCTCTCTTAATACATTACCATTTAACTTATCTTTTCTTTTCATATTTTAATACACTTGTTGTACATTATAGCCGTAGGATTAGGTTTATTTCCCTCTCACTTACAGTTTTTGAGGTCTGGTGTTTACCTTTATTAAAATATTATTTATTTTTTATTTTCCCCACCTACCCCGACTGCTAAATTGCCTGTGGTAGAAGCGGTCGTTAACCCCCCAAAACACTAAGTACAGTACAGAATTACCTCACATTTTCAAGATGGAGTAAGAGGAGAAATTCCGAAAAAACCTGGACAAGAGCTATTGTTTGTTAGGTCTATCCTATGTTTGATGTAGCATTGTTTTGATTACAGTGAAGACTAATTGTTAAGTTAAGTGAAAGGTATTTGTTATCATGTCAAATAAATTTGTCTCCTCATAAATAATTTGGCTTTTTTATATCAAATTTGACTATGTAAGAACCTCAAAAGTAATTTCAGGAAATGTGTCTAAAAAACTTGATGTCAAATCAGGGAATATGTGTAATACCTGAAAATTGTAGGGATTATGTATATTCCCTGAGTGAATCAGACATTAAATATATTCCCTGAAAATTTCAGGGATTATACATATTCCCTGATTATACATATTCCCTGTAACATATATACATACATGTGGACATGTACGTATATATGTGTCTGTGTGTGTGGTATGTGTGTGCCTTCTGGTCCGGACGTATGCCTGCTTTATAGTGCTAGACCATGGAGATATCGTTCCGCAGTTTGACATCTCTACTTAAGCATAATATGCTGAACCCGTGGATCTCACCACCGACCGCTTTCTGGGCAGACACTATCCCACGGAGGCTGTCTTCAGATTGTGAATGTGATGAATAGGCATGCCATTGAATAAAATTATTTTGTATATATTGCTTCTTATGGATACATAAATAACTATATATTACTACTGTAGTGCCGACAAATGTTTCAATCACAGTCTGACGGGAAATCGTGGTTTTGCACTGACAAGTTATTATTGTTATTCTTTAGCCTCTATATGTTTTGAGTGATCATGATAATTTGAATATCCACATTGTTAACAACCAGCGACTATTACTCCCAAATGTGTGTCATTTAACAAAATGTCAATCAAATGTAATTTTAACTGATGGTTTGCTTTCTGAGGTTTCTGAGGTCTAGAGGTTTCCCACACAGACCCCCGTTCGGACTCGGATTAAATTAGAATAGGTCCAAGAATAGAACAGGTCCAAGAATAGAATAGGTCCAAGAATAGAATAGGTCCAAGAGTAGAACAGGTCCAAGAATAGAACAGGTCCAAGAATAGAATAGGTACAAGAATAGAATAGGTCCAATTGGATCGAGTTGTGGCTTGGCGACTTGGTTGACGCTTCAAATAATATCAATCACAGGTTCGTCTGGTCTAGATTCGGTTATTTACAGAACGCTGTGATAGATAGCTCGGAAATGGCTGCAGCGGTAGACAACAATCAAACAAATCAGTCATAATAACTGGATTAGCTCATATCAATATTGTGGATAACCACACACTCAGGGAGGCGTGACATCACAAAGGATCAACCCTTTTAGCAAGAGTACCAAACTGTGGTGCTATAACATGTTTGTTTGTTCGTTGTTTAACGCCGCACTCAGCAATATTCCAGTTATATGACGGCGGTCTGTAAAATAATCGAGTCTGGACCAGACAATCTAGTGATTGACATCATGAGCATCGATCCACGCAATTGGGATCGATGCCATGTATCACCCGAGTCAGCGAGCCTGACCACCCGATCCCGTTAGTCGCCTTTTACGACAAGCATAGACGCCTTTTACGGCAAATATGGGTCGCTGAAGACCTATTCTACCCCTATTCTTCACGGGTCCTACAACATGTAGCACAAACTACGGTCCAACAGGTATGTCATACGGACAGGTAGCAATAATACCATCCCCATGCACATTACACCAACATATGGCCATACCAGCTCCTAGACACATACCACTGACCAGTGACACCATCATACAGTGTTGTCGCACTCACAGTCAGTTGTGCCACCATACAGTGTTGTCGCACTCACAGTCAGTTGTGCCATCCTACAGTGTTTTCCCACGGACAGTCAGTCCTACAATTTCACAACGTTTGTTGTTGTGCGCCGCACTCAGCAATATTCCAGCTCTATGACGGCGGTCCGCACATAATCGAGTCTTGACCAGACAATCCAGTTATTGATGTCATAAGCATCGATCAAAGCAATTGGGATCGATGACATGCATCTGAGCGAGCCTGTTTCATGTTTCCTGAACAACTACCAGATATTCATAGCGTGTGAATTGTGTTTGACAAGGACAAAGGAACGCGAATGTCACCTATTTATAAACTATCCTACTTCCTTAAAATAGTCCTTCCTTCCTGATTCAGATCATTGTCATTCATGATTGTGACGTGTCCAAAACACATTGTTTCAGTTAGTCATGTTAGTACCAAAGTACATATCTTACAGCCTGTCTCTCATCCATGTTGGAACAAAGCCAATTCTTTATTCTATATGTCGGTATATCTCCTCACTGTATCAACTCTTACCAACGAAAGAGGAGATGACGTCGAATACATATTTCAGCTAGTGTGAATGCGACACAATACATCGCCATTCGAATATGGTCAAATGTTATGCAGTGTATTTACAAATTAATGTCTCGTGTTCACAGAATTGAAAATCCGTTATTGATCTATATGTATTTGCAAAGCCTGTGGTTACGAAACAAGCCATCTTCATGTACTTTCTGTTTGCCTCAAATTCTAAGAAATGCAAACGAAAGATATGCCAGAAAGCACTGTGCCACAGACGTGTATAGAGAATTTATATTTTCTTACATTTCTTGCAACACTGCTAGCATAGCTGTCAAGGTCTAAAGTCAGCTGTGGTGAGTACCATGATACCCGGTCTTACGTAAGCACTACAAGAGGCATAATATGTGTACGATAAAAGCAATTACTATTAATGTGGTACCACACATGGTTGAATAACAGATTGACAAAATGTATTGAGGATTTTGGAATCCAATATTTATGCTGAAAGGCACAGTATACAACATGAACTGGTAAGGTGAGGTGAAATGGGGTTTAACGTCGCGTCCATGATTATTGCACTTATATAGCGACGTGCATGTACGTGTGTGTGTTTGTGTGGCTGCTTCTACTAGTCCGGACTGATGCCGAGTTATAGTGCTAGCACACTGAGATACCATGCCCCAGTTTAACATGAATACCCCACTCAGACACAGTGTACTGACTCCCAGCCGACCAGTCCTTGTTTTAGCCCCTTAATGCCGAGCGCCAGACAGGGTAACAACAAGTACCATCTTTTAACGTCTTTTGGTATGACGCGGCCGGGGATCGAACCCAGGACCTTCCACTCTCCGGGCGGACGCTCTACCACTAGACCACGGAAACGGTCCAGCATGAACAGACTAAGCATATGTACAGTGTGTGAAGCCTAATTGTACATATGGTGCCCACAGTCGTGATATGGCTGGAATGTTGTCACAAGATGCTGTGAAGTCTCACCCACTCTGGTACTATGTCAACGATTCCCCCTGTAAGACATATATGACAGCTGCGTTACATGGGTACAGGAACACAACACATGTACAACATACAAATAAATACAATACATAAACCACTGAGATGGTACTTGTTTTTACCCTGCCTCGCACTCGGTATTAAGGGGATCCAACAAGGCCCGGTTGGCTCGGTGTCAGTAAACTGTGTCTTGGTTGGATATTCATCTTTTACAGCGGTATTGTGTGTAAGTGGGCTAGCTCTATACAACCGACTTTAGCCTAGTGCAAGCACGCACACGTGCATGCATGTGTCATATTGTACTTTTCAAATGAATGGTTCATACATCTGATGTATCAGATTTGAAAATGGACCGGCAGTGAACGAGTATGAGACACTTCAGGCAGTAAAATTGACCTGAACTCTGCAAATATGAGACACACAAAGTAATAACATGGAACTGAACTGTGCAAATATGAGACACATAAGGTAGTGACATGGAACTGAACTGTGTAAATATGAGACACATAAGGTAGTGACATGGAACTGAACTGTGCAAATATGAGACACATAAGGTAGTAACATGGAACTGAACTGTGCAAATATGAGACACATAAGGTAGTAACTTGGAACTGAACTGTGCAAATATGAGTGAGTGTGAGTGAGTATTCCAGTTATATCGCGGCGTGTCAGCTTAATGTGGGAGGAAAGCCCGAAGTGATGCAGGTCTCAGACGTTTACCACTTCTGTGCAAATATGAGACACATAAGGTAGTAACATGGAACTGAACTGTGCAAATTAAGACACATCAGGTAGTAAAATGGATCACGGCTGTCCAAAAATTACATGCGTCGAGTAGCAAAAAGGTCTGACATGTGCAAAGATTTGTTAGACTCATAAAGTTATAATCATATTTTCGTTGTGTTCATTGTAATTCCTGCATTCTGATTAGCTATCACCTATTATTGCATTCATTTCCCAATGAATGTAAAAAGATTAAGAATCCAAAGATTAGAGTTGTGAAAATTCCCTTTCCGTTTACCTGTATCATTGTTCACAGGACATTTTGCATAATTCATGCAGATTCACTGTCCAAACTACCCTTTGAGCCCGAAGGCCAAGAAAGAATGAAACAGCAAACGGGCAGGCTCGCTCGCCTGTTTTTTCTCTCGCTCACCTCAGTACCACAAATGTCATGTCTTCGGGTTTCCTTCCCAATCCGCATTTCTCCAAATGTGTCTTTCCGTTCTCAGGGAACTAGTGTTTGAATCTGTTTGGAACTGACAATGTCATTTGAAACAGCCGCCTAGCTTCTCCCAGATATATTTTTTCCGGTTCGTAACAGACTGACTGTTGCAGTTCCCTTCGCCCCTCGGCCTGATTTGCAGCTCCTACGCGGATTCACACAATTTGCACATCGTTGTATCGATTCATACTTCAATGAACCGAAAAAGGTCAATTGTCAATTTTAAAGTAAAATGGACCTGTTCGGTGCCAACTTCAGACACATCAGGAGAAAGACAAAAACATTAATGGTGCAAACGTAAGCCCTCACATAGTGAGTGAGTGAGTGAGTGAGTTTGATTTTAAGCCACTTTTAGCAATATTCCAGCAATATCACGGCAGGGGACACCAGAAATAAGCTTCACACATTGTACCCAATCGAACCCGGGTCTTCGGCGTGACGAGCGAACGCTTTAACCACTAGGCTACACAACCGGCCAAGACAATCACACAGACATATTTGTCTGAACGTTGCACAACCATCAAATGTGAAAGGGGCGGTCGGGTAGCCTGGCGGTTAAAGCGTTAGCTCGTCATGCCGAAGACCCGGGTTCGATTCCCGACATGGGTACAATGTGTGAAGCCCATTTCTGGTGTCCCCCGCCGTGATATTTCTGGAATATTGCTAAAAGCGGCGTAAAACCATACTCACTCACTCACTCACTACATGTGAAACATCGTATATGAGATCACGGTAAGAGTAAGTCTGAACCGTGCAAATCAGTGCGTGTCACACATGCCTGCATAATATTCAAAAGCAACAGTGTTGGAGATTCAACTTTACATGCGTGTATGTCTGACTTATTAAAGACATGCATCTCTGGTCAGCCGGGCATGACATGAGCTTGGCTTACAAGTCTTTCAATACACTGATATATTTATTGCAGTAAAATCGCAGTGATGTATCATGTATATTCTGATGACTCACTGAACTGGTTCACCGAGCGAATTGTAAGATGTAATGTGAATGAGGATTACATGCCCCAGGGTAAGTGTTTTCACAGACCATGCGAGATGGTTGAGCTTACACAGGTATTGAGAAATACGTAAGGAATAAATATGTTTGTTTAAGAGATATGTGGTTAAGACACGAAAATGAAGAAGAAGAGTGCCATTCAATAAATACAGTAGACTACGGTTATAGCTAACTCGAATGGACTCCAATTTTGGTTTGTAATAACCGTAGTTCGTTATAGGCATACATACAGCATATATACAATAAATGGTCGGGACTTAAAATAAGTTCGTTATATCCGTCAGTTTGTTATAAGCGTGTTCGTTATAAACGTAGTTTACTTTACTTATATTAATGACCGAAATTGCGGCATCGCCATGCAGGTTGTTGCATATCTGAATGTGTATGCATTAGGACAATGACACAAGACACTTCTCCCAATTAAAGATAGCCAAGGGACAGGTGAAGAAGGAATTTCAGCCAGCACACCAGAGTAGTGAAAACCGCTGTCATGAGTAGTGAAATCGGGTTATTTAAAAACGTGAATCGCTAACATGGCGAGGGGGTTGACGTATAACTCATATGTCTCCTTTTCTGCAGTCGTGTAATGAAAGAGAAAGTAGGTCGGTGAGAAAAACGCTTTGGCCTCGTCGCTTCTTGGAAATATAGAGGCGCGATAAGCGAAACACAGTACCTGGTCGTGCGAGCTGTTGGTCTGCAGTGTGGGTAATGTCTACACTGCAGCTGTGTTCGAATCACTGATTTTGGGAGCCAGTCAGTGAAATATCTCGACGTACGTAACGTCCCTGTGTATGAGAATATACGACACTTTGGGATACAATGTAATCATCAGTATAAGATTAAATGCAGATGTAGATTAAAAATATGCTCACAATGGACACCTATAATCCCCAGACAATGAGTGAACCAGAATCAACGTTGCTGCCTTTCGACACAACGTCACCGTCATCCCCGTCACGTCAACGACGCCGCCCGGGAGTTTTATTCTATACCATCATCACTGTGTCCCTTACTGCAAACGTTCTTCTTGTCGTCGCGGTTACCGTCCAAACAATTATGGCGTCACGTGACACGCACAAGGTGAGTGTAGAGGGATTCTCAAATTCGCTTAGCCACGTGGACACCGCCGCTCAAGTCTGTTTCGCCTGTAACCACCTGGGTCCGCTGATCGAATCCAAGGACACTCTCTATGACGTCATACGACTCTCTTCTGGTCACACGTTTTGTTGTCAGAGACAGAATAATGACATCACCAAGCTTTTCGGAAAGGTAATTATCTTTAACTAGAAATCTGTATACAATGTTTAATAGCATTATGTTTAAATATTTAGAACAAATGCATAAAGCATGTCATGTGTGTAGAACTCATTGACTCCTGAATTTGAATAATTATGTGATGCCATGACTGCAGGTTAACATATATGGTATAGTTGTTTGTTTGTTTATTTGTTGTTCAACGACGCACTCAGCAACATTCCAGCTATATGACGGCGGTCTGTAAATGATCGAGTCTGGAACAGACAATCTAGTGCATCAACCAAGTCAGCGAGCCTGTCCACCCGATCCCGAATTCGAAGACTCACCTCTTTCGACAAGCATAGTCGCCTTTTACGGCAAGCAGGGATGCTGGAGACTCAAGCCACCCCGGATCTTCTCGGATCCATTTATGTTATAAGAAAGGCGACAAAGCGAGTTCATTGTACGATTCCGACTATACCATGATCATTGGTTTAGGAATCACTACTGAAAAGGGATGGTACCATGTGTTCGCGAAAAGATAAGGGTGTCCTACACCATCGGTGGCAACATGTTATTTTATCCGAACAAAATGTACTTTAATGTACTTTGAATTAGCCTGCTTAATTGTTGAGGTGATGAGAATAATGCTTTGTTTACATCTGTGATATATTGACAATGTCTACACCATGTGTAGAGCACAGTAAGCAACGCTGTCGTGTGTCTTCATATTCACGTGGGGCGGTCGGGTAGCCTAGTGGTTAAAGCGTTCGCTCGTCACGCCGAAGACCCGGGTTCGATTCACGACATGGGTACGATTGTGAAGCCCATTTCTGGTGTCCCCCGCCGTGATATTGCTGGAATATTGCTAAAAGCGGCGTAAAACCATACTCACTCACTCACTCGCTCATATTCATGTGCGACTGCTGCCAATAACGGACTTGGATTCCGGGAAAACTTATCCATGTCTGTTCCCGGAACACAGCAATGATTTTACATCACGCGATTGCACAGCTTGGATGGATCAATGTTATTGAGCAACGCGAGACACACAAGAGTGTGCCTGATTCACGTTTGTATGTGTGAACACATTTATATCATTTTGGAAGATGGGTGTTTTTGTCTGTTTCTCGAACAATGCCATGCTGATTAATCGAGGGGTATGGGTGGGGCATTGTTGTAATCGAACCCATGTTTTCGGCGAACAACGAAACCGCGAAATTGCCTATCACCCGCGAACAGCTGTAGTACTGTGGTAGTCGTAGTAGTAGTATAGCTGTAGCTAAAGCAGTAATAGAAGTAGTTGTAGTAGTTATTAATAGTAGTAGTTGTTGTAGTAGTAGCATAGCAGTAGATAAAGCAGTAGTAGTAGTGGTAGTTGTAGAAGTAGTAGTAGTTGTAGTAGTAAAGCATTAACTAAAGTAGTAGTAGTATTGGTAGTAGTAGTAATAGTAGTAGTTGTTGTAGTAGTAGCATAGCAGAAGATAAAGCAGTAGTAGTAGTGGTAGTTGTAGAAGTAGTAGTAGTTGTAGTAGTAAAGCATTAACTAAAGTAGTAGTAGTATTGGTAGTAGTAGTAATAGAAGTAGTTGTTGTAGTAGTAGTAGTAGTAGTAGAAGTAGTAGTATAGCAGTAGATCAAGCAGTAGTAGAAGTAGAAGTAGTAATATTAGTAGTAGTAGTAATTATTATAGTAGTAGTAGAATGTGTTGTTGTAGTAGTAGTAGTAGTATAGCAGTAGATCAAGCAGGAGTAGAAGTAGTAATAGTAGTAGTTAGAGTAGTAGTAGTAGTAGTAGTAGTAGTGGTAGTAGTAGTAGTAATAATAATAGTAGTAGTAGTTGTTGTAGTAGTAGTAGCAGTTGAATTAGAGTGAGTGAGTATGGTTTTACGCCGCTTTTAGCAATATTCCAGCAATATCACGGCGGGGGACACCAGAAATGGGCTTCACACATTGTGCCCATGTCGGGAATCGAACCCGGGTCTTCGGCGTGACGAGCGAACGCTTTAACCACTAGGCTACCCGACCGCCCCAGTTGAATTAGAAGTAGTAGAAGTAGTAGTAGTAGTAGTAGCTGTAATAGCAGTAGTTACAGTGGTAACAGAAGTGGAAGTAGTGGTAGTTGAAGTAATAGTTGACGAAGTGGTATTACAAGTAGTAGCAGCAGTTACAGTTGTAGTAGTAGCAGGAGTAGTTAAATCAGCAGTAGTAGTAGTTGAAGTATTATTATTAGTAGTAGTTGTAGCTGTAATAGCAGTAGTTACAGTGGTAACAGTAGTTGAAGTAGTAGTAGTTGATGTAGTAGTATTACTTATCGTAGCAGCAGTTACAGTAGTAGTAGTAGAAGTAGTAATCGTAGTAGTAGTAAAAGTAGTTGTTGTAGTAGTAGTAGCTGTAGTAGCAGTAGTTACAGTAGTAACAATAGTAGTAGTGGTAGTAGTAGTAGTATTTGTAGTAGTGATTTTTGTGGTAGTAGCAGGAGTAATACATCGAGTAAAGTCAACTGTATAACAATTTCAAATCTAACTGTGACCCAGTTTTATCTTACTCACGTGATGTTTGTAAACACACACAGTGACACACTTTGACTCAAATTTAGAAATATCGGCCGCGTATCACATGGGGCCTAAACAAAGCAAGGCTGTGTTTACACTCTACCTAAACATCTGTGTCAAGGCCAGGTGACCTGGTCGTCAGTCAGCTTCAAATATATACGCGCTACTTCCAGATCCCTCTTATCAAACTCCTGCCAACATGACGCATCAGAGCATGATACATGTGCACAGACACTGTAGTGCGAACAAGGTGTTATTGATTATTGAGTAACATGCGCCATGATCCAGTTGTGATGTAAGCAGGAAGTTTTACCTTGATATCTTATTCAGGTCACGCTGCGTTGACTGACACTACTATCTTACATTCAATGTTCGCGTCCCCCCTTATCGTGACATAAAGTATAGGTCGACATGGCAGACAGTGTATACATCCATGTTACAGCAGGCTAGAGCTAATGCTGGGAACGCTGATTACATTTCCCCTTCACAATGGCCCTTCCAGCTAGGTACGTCCATCATATAACATGCGCGTTTTACCAACATTGCATCAGTACGCAGCCATTTAAGAGGGGTGGTAGAAATGTCCTTCACACAATCGACCAATATGAGGAAGCGGACCCGTGTCTTGACGTGATGAGAGAATGGTAAAACGACCAGGCTACCTACAATCAGCTGTAGTAGTAGCAGTAGCAGTAGTAATATTTAGTCGTAGTAGTAGTCGCAGTAGTAGTAGTTGTTGTTGTTGCTGATGTTGTTATATAGGCAACAGTAATAGTAGTTGCAGCAGTAGTTATACTAGTAGTCGTAGAAGTTGTCGAAGTAGTAGTTACTCAAGTAGTCGTAGTAGTAGTGTCTGTAGTAGTGATAGTAGTTGCAGTAGTAGTAAAAGTAGTTGCAGCAGTAGTAATACTAGTAGTCGTAGTAGTAGTAGTCGCAGTAGTAGCAATAGTAGTTGTTCTTGCTGTTATACAAGCAACAGTAATAGTAGTCGTAGTAGAAATAATCGTAGTGGCAGTAGTAGTAATACTAGTAGTCGTAGTAGTAGTGGCAGTAGTAGTTATAGTAGTTGCAGTATTAGTTATACCAGTAGTCGTAGAAGTAGTCGCATTTGTATGAATAGTAGTAGTAGTAGTAGTAGTAGTAGTAGTAGGAGTAGTAGGAGTAGGAGTAGTAGGAGTAGTAGTACAACTACGATGAGGTAGTCATTTTATTGTTTGTAAACATACCCGGTTTGACTTATATGCAGAAATAGCAGAGGTGTCTCTCATGTTATCTTTACATTTCAGCGCGGCAATGTTTTCAAATAAACAAATGTGTCAAGGCTACGTTCGGAGATCAACAAGGCATGCATCAACTGATATCTTTATGCATGGGCATTACAGCGTACTCACTGAAGGCAACTCAAACACCGACAGTTGATTGTTTACTGTTCGGGACATATGACAAGCACATACTCTCGTTTCGTTACAAGGACCCGTATTATTAACTCATTCTGTTGACACTCCTGGCTTTTCAATCACACAGACCATGACCATGTGTTTGCATCAAATGACAGGGAAAAGGGTTAATGTATTGTTTTCAATATATTTATATAAACACAGGACACTGTGTAGCTGACAAAACAATCAATGATCATAAGTCATCTCTACTAAAAGAGGAGTATATGATTCCGACTTACATCTTAACAAATAGCACAAATCCAAACAGGGAATTGCATCATATATCATGTTGGTCAGTGAAGAGTCAAATTTTAGTTGACGCATCTGCGACCTAGATATCGTGTTCCGGACGCTGTTTACATGTGCTGCTTTAGGCTGATTGCTTGAGTTGGTATAGATCCGTAAGATATAACATATGACAATTTGTGAAGCAAGTATCATGCGTGTTCTGCAATGAGCGCTTGTGCTAGTTAAGATCAATTAGGGCTCTTGTAACATGTATATAGGATTCAGTGATTTGTTCAATACACACTGTATGTTTGTTGTTTAACGCCGTTCTCACCAATATTCCAGCTAAACGACGGTGGTCTGTAAATGATCGAGTTTGGACCAGACAATCCAGTGAATGACATCATGAGCATCGATCTACACAATTGGGATACGATGACATGCATCAACCAAGTCACCGAGCCTGATCTTGTTAGTCGCCTTTCATGACAAGCATGGGTTGCTGAAGACCAATTCTGAAGACCCAGGTCATCACGGGTATCAATGCAAACAATGCGCATTACAGATGGAACATTCACTAAAGGATAATAGCTTTGGAAACATGAATGTTATCTTTGGTTAGGGTAATTTACCTTTTCATACCATCAACGTAATACGGAGTACATAAACAAGAATCCATTGGATCTTGGGGTAGCCTTATAGTCAAAGCGTTCGCTCGTTACGAGGAAGGCCCGGGTTCGATTCCTGACTTGGGTACAATGTGTGAAGCCCTATTCTTGTGGTCCCCGCCATGATATTACTGAAACCGGACGCTTGGTGGAGTCAACGTTTCGTTTCAGTTTTTATCATTGGTTTCTGCAGCGTTTACTCTGTAAAATGCGTCATCATATTTCGACAGCGTGGAGTACTGCTCATGCTGTCGACCATTAGTGTTGATTTACTTGCGCCAGAGTCACAATCGTCTCTTAAGAAGCTTATCTAGGCAGCATTGATCCCATACAAAATGAGACTTCATGATATGTTTCACAAGCTCTAAATTATCTTACTTTCAGATCGTATCGGACGAATATCTGAGGCGATTGACAGGTAAGTTGTGGGAAGCAGTATCCTACATGCAAATGTTAAACTGAAATATGTGATGTGATGCTATCTGGTGTTTTAATTTGCGCACCTGAAATTTTGTTCATATTGTCATATCAAATATATCATTAACACTTGGAGCTCAAATGGTTCAGAAGTTTAATGTTTATGATTATAATATAGCCCCTTAGGCGTATCACAAACCTGTGATCGTGGGTTCAAACCCCATATTTACCCTGATTATGTTTCTAGGTTTGTCAGACCTGCATCACTTCGGGCTTTCCCCCCACATTAAGCCAACGTATATATATAACTGAAACTTAGTTCCATGCGGCATGAAATCAAACCCCCTTACTCACTCAATATAGCAAAGACAGAGCCATGACTCACTCACTCAACGAATCCTTTTGGTTTTCAGCAGATGCTCAAATATCATAGATGTACATTTAACCTGTATTATTTGAAACAGGTATGTTAAGTATATCTTGAAAGCGGTTATACCACTTGGTCTATTCCAGGACGCGAACCACCCAAGTCAGATAGGGATAGGAGACACGGGCTGAATATCAACAAAGGGTCAACAGGAGCTCATCTTTATATGGTCCCTCAAGCAGGTAACGTATGGCCGAAGAACGGCCTCCCAGAGTGTAGCGTTCCCAGTGAAGTCGGCGGAAATTTCATTACGGATTACGTATAACGTGAACGTAGAAATACGCTTTTGAAAATATACTGACGTACAAAACGTATAATAAAGGGGTGTACAAACGGCTTAAGGGGTGTTCCCGAATGTGTGAGGTCGATGTTCCCACTCGGGTAGAGGAGTGTCCCTGTGTGTGTGAGGTCGATGTTCCCACTCGGGTAGAGGAGTGTCCCTGTGTGTGTGAGACCGACGTTCCCACTCGGGTAGAGGAGTGTCCCTGTGTGTGTGAGACCGACGTTCCCACTCGGGTAGAGGAGTGTCCCTGTATGTGTGAGACCGACGTTCCCACTCGGGTAGAGGAGTGTCCCTGTGTGTGTGAGACCGACGTTCCCACTCGGGTAGAGGAGTGTCCCTGTGTGTGTGAGACCGACGTTCCCACTCGGGTAGAGGAGTGTCCCTGTATGTGTGAGACCGACGTTCCCACTCGGGTCCAGGAGTGTCCCTGTGTGTGTGAGACCGACGTTCACACTCGAGTAGAGGAGCGTCCCTGTGTGTGTGAGACCGACGTTCCCACTCGAGTAGAGGAGTGTCCCTGTGTGTGTGAGACCGACGTTCACACTCGAGTAGAGGAGCGTCCCTGTGTGTGTAAGATCGACGTTCCCACTCGAGTAGAGGAGTGTCCCCGTGTGTGTGAGACCGACGTTCCCACTCGGGTAGAGGAGTGTCCCTCTGTGTGTGTGAGACCGACGTTCCCACTCGAGTAGAGGAGTGTCCCTGTGTGTGTGTGAGATCGATGTTCCCATATGGGTAGAAGAGCGTCCTTGTGTGTGTGAGATTGACGTTCCCACTCGGGTAGAGGAGTGTCCCTGTGTGTGTGAGACCGACGTTCCCACTCGGGTAGAGGAGTGTCCCTGTGTGTGTGAGACCGACGTTCCCACTCGGGTAGAGGAGTGTCCCTGTGTGTGTGTGAGATCGATGTTCCCATACGGGTAGAATAGCGTCCCTGTGTGTGTGAGATTGACGTTCCACTCGGGTAGAGGAGCGTCCCTGTGTGTGTGTGAGATCGACGTTCCCACTCGGGTAGAGGAGTGTCCCTGTGTGTGTGTGAGACCGACGTTCCCACTCGGGTAGAGGAGTGTCCCTGTGTGTGTGAGACCGACGTTCCCACTCGGGTAGAGGAGCGTCCCTGTGTGTGTGAGATCGACGTTCCCACTCGGGTAGAGGAGTGTCCCTCTGTGTGTGTGAGACCGACGTTCCAACTCGGGTAGAGGAGTGTCCCTGTGTGTGTGAGACCGACGTTCCCACTCGGGTAGAGGAGCGTCCCTGTGTGTGTGAGATCGACGTTCCCACTCAGGTAGAGGAGCGTCCCTGTGTGTGTGAGATCGACGTTCCCACTCGGGTAGAGGAGTCTCCCTGTGTGTGTGAGACCGACGTTCCAACTCGGGTAGAGGAGTGTCCCTGTGTGTGTGAGATCGACGTTCCCACTCGGGTAGAGGAGTGTCCCTGTGTGTGTGAGACCGACGTTCCCACTCGAGTAGAGGAGTGTCCCTGTGTGTGTGAGACCGACGTTTCCACTCGGGTAGAGGAGTGTCCCTGTGTGTGTGAGACCGACGTTCCCACTCGGGTAGAGGAGTGTCCCTGTGTGTGTGAGACCGACGTTCCCACTCGGGTAGAGGAGTGTCCCTCTGTGTGTGTGAGACCGACGTTCCCACTCGGGTCCAGGAGTGTCCCTGTGTGTGTGAGACCGACGTTCCCACTCGGGTAGAGGAGTGTCCCTGTATGTGAGAGACCGACGTTCGCACTCGAGTAGAGGAGTGTCCCTGTGTGTGTGTGAGATCGATGTTCCCATATGGGTAGAAGAGCGTCCTTGTGTGTGTGAGATTGACGTTCCCACTCGGGTAGAGGAGTGTCCCTGTGTGTGTGAGACCGACGTTCCCACTCGGGTAGAGGAGTGTCCCTGTGTGTGTGAGACCGACGTTCCCACTCGGGTAGAGGAGTGTCCCTGTGTGTGTGAGACCGACGTTCTCACTCGGGTAGAGGAGCGTCCCTGTGTGTGTGAGATCGACGTTCCCACTCGGGTAGAGGAGTGTCCCTGTGTTTATGAGATCAACGTTCCCACTCGGGTAGAGGAGTGTCCCTGTGTGTGTGAGACCGACGTTCCCAATCGGGTAGAGGAGTGTCCCTGTGTGTGTGAGATCGACGTTCCCACTCGGGTAGAGGAGTGTCCCTGTGTGTGTGAGATCGACGTTCCCACTCGGGTACAGGGGTGTCTCTGTGTGTGTGAGACCGACGTTCCCACTCAGGTAGAGGAGTGTCCCTGTGTGTGTGAGACCGACGTTCCCACTCGGGTAGAGGAGTGTCCCTGTGTGTGTGAGATCGACGTTCCCACTCGGGTAGAGGAGTGTCCCTGTGTTATTCCAGTTATAGGACCGCGGTTTGTAAATAATCGAGTCTAGACCAAACAATTGCGATACGATAACATGCATCAACCAAGTCAGCGAGCCTGACCACCCAATCCCGTTAGTCACCTTTTACGGCAAGCATGAGTTGCTAAAGATCTATTCTACCCCGGATCTTCACGGGTCTATTCTATATCAGAAAGTATTATCTTCAGATGTAGTTTTTCGGTTTGATTTGTAACGAAACTTGCAAACAGTGACTTCCCTTTGGCAGATTCGCCGCCATCATGGACATCAAGCGACATCTACAACACCTCCTACTGCTTCAACGTGGTGTGTGGTGATGGGGGTATTGTCGTTCCAGCGGCCGGCATTTACCTGGTGTACTCTCACCTCACGTTCACCACACAGCCAGCCTCTGAAGACACAGTCATACACGTCATACAGCGGCGGAACCGGAACTTGCCTGGTGTGGGCGAGAAACCCGTCCTGTTCAGTAAAACCTCGTTGACATGGACGGCATCTGCGCAGCAAACGTCTTTTCTGTCCGCCGTTGTGAAACTACGCAGAGAAGACATTATCCGGGTTACCATGTCTGAAAACTATAATGATCTGGTTGAGATGAGGAAGCTTTCAAATTATTTTGGTGTGATCAAAATGTAAATTATGATCCAATATCGTTGTGGCGGGTGGGGGCTGGGGTCACGGGACGTGGGGGATGTTTTGTGTGTGAGTGTGCCTCTGAGAAAGATCCAAGACCTTGACTACTGATGTGCGACCAAGACTCCCCCGGTTCTTACCCATAACACAAGGGATGCACGAATGTTGGTTGGTTGGTTTGTTGTTTTACGCCGCATCCAAATGGATGCACAGATTTGGCTTACGTTGTGCATGAAATATGCTGTTTGTTTGTTTGTTTGTTGTTTAACGCCGCACTCACAATATTCCAGCTAAATGACGGCGGTTTGTAAATAATCGAGTCTGGACCAAACAATTGCGATACGATGACATGCATCATCAACCAAGTCAGCGAGCCTGACAACGGGTCAGAAGAAATATGCAACCGATTCTCCATTGGTCATGTTCTAAATATGACCCTGTGATATCACCGGATGTTTATATACAATTTGGTAACCCGAGACAAACGGGAAATTACTTTCTTTGTTTGTTGTTTAACGCCGCACTTAGCAATATTCCAAAAGATATATGACTGCGGCCTGTAAATAATCGAATGTGTCCCAGACAATCCAGCGATTGATATCATGAGCATCGGTCCACGCAATTGGGATACGATGACATGCTTCAACCAAGTCAGCGAGCCTGACTCCCGATCCCGCAAGTCGCCTCATGCGAATGGTGTTAAATTTGACTAAATGTATCTAGGAAAATTGGTATTCGCAACAAAATCGTAATCATTATATATATATATCACTAAATATACTATATATACTCACTGCCAAAAGAAACGCGAACCATAGAAACATATAGAGAAGAATGTAGGTTAAGAAGAGATGTTTCCAAAGCGTACAACTTAATGACAAAACTAACAATCAGTAAAGTGTTACCACGAAGTGTCTTTATTCTTATCATGATCTGCTGCACGTGATTTCCAAACTTTACGCGCTCATCCTGCACGAGACAAAAGGTGCATCTCGAGTCCTGCATTTATGACGTCACATGTGATGCGTTCATGAGCGTCGGTTCACACAACATACCAGTATGTTCGTTTCTGCATCGAACTAATCTAATATCCCTTGAATATGAGAAAATATTCAAAAACTAACCAGCATGCATCATAATGGTATTCGCGTTTCTATTGTGGGTGAGTATATAGGAATCATTTCTAAAACTAACCGAGGTGTAAATAGTGATTGAATTACAAGCAGCTGTGAAGTTGTTTCAACATATTTACTTTCCTCTACTGAAACTACAGCTGCTTAATTCTTAAGTTAAGATATGTATATGTATGGAAGGTTACTGGATATTTTGTTATACATTATGGAAATAAAATCATAATCCGACACTCTATTTGTCCCCTTTACCGAGGGTTTATTGCACACAAATGCTGAAATGATATTGAGGTGGAGATTGATGACGGAAATAACAGGGAAAAGGACAGACTTATAACATTAAGTCACATAAGCACTGTCACAGCTATATATAGCGATGAGAACAAATAACAAACATATCAACAAAGGAATGAAAGAAGCTGAAATCATAGTCGATTGGAGGTAGAACTCTATGACCGTTACTTGCTAACTTCTACTTTAGATTTACATTAGTGTCATACCCATGGTCAAGTCAGTATGCACGAAAATGGATGCAAATATTTGGCTTACGTTGTAGATGAAATATGCTGTTTGTTTGTTTGTTGTTTAACGCCGCACTCAGCAATATTCCAGCTATATGAGAGGCGGTCGGGTAGCCTGGTGGTTAAAGCGTTCGCTCGTCACGCCGAAGACCCGGGTTCGATTCCCGACATGGGTACAATGTGTGAAGCCCATTCCTGGTGTCCTCCGCCGTGATATTGCTGGAATATTGCTAAAAGCGGCGTAAAACCATACTCACTCACTCACTCCAGCTATATGACGGCGGTTTGTAAATAATCGAGTCTGGACCAAACAATTGCGATACGATGGCATGCATCATCATCCAAGTCAGCGAGCCTGACCACCCGATCCCGTTAGTCGCCCCTTACGACAAGCATACTCGCCTTTTGCGGCAAGCATGAATTGCTGAAGACCTTTTCTAACCCGGATCTCCACGGGTCAAATGAAATATTCAATTTATTCTCCAGTGATCATGTTCTAAATATGACCCTGTGATATCACCGGATGTTTATATACAATTTGGTAACCCGAGACAAACGGGAAATTACTTTGTAACCAGGTAATATTCATTCCCGAGGAATTGGACTATAACAACGTGAGAAGCCAAATGTACACAGTACACCGTGGGGCCAAGTCAATATAGTCACGATTCCCCAGGAAAAGCCTTGGAGGGGGTCAAATACATCTGTGGTGAGGCAACATGTACCGTTATATCGGGCAGGAATTGAGGCGGTTAGAGCAGTCGTCGGGGCTTGATTGGCCGAACATTGTAACGACACGACCCTCATATATCCGCGTCATGTCCGGCTTTCCTTCCACTGAAATACTGTTCGAAGAATCTCCGGGCTCGATTCCCCGAATGAGTACAATGAAAAGTCCTTTTCTGTTGTCCAAAGCACTGTATTGCTGGAGTATTGATAATAGTGTGGTATAAAATCATACTCACTCACATCCTGGTTTTCTGGGTCGGATTCCAGCCTCGCGAAGATGGTTCCTGACAGTCTGGTCCCATATACCCCCCAAACCAAGGATGCGTCCTGTAGTCTCCGTAGCTGTGGCATTGCGATGACGAAGGTGGAACAGTCGAATGCAGCGATCATGTGCAGGGGTGGTAACTCTTTGTCGGACGGTTCTCGGACGGGCTGCAGTGGAATTGAACTGTGTGTATCGGTCGCAAAGGCGGCAAATGGTGCTGTGGTGGACGTTGACAATTGAATGACAAATTATTGGCTTATGCTTGCAACTACCACGAGTTACGAATGCCATAACTTGCGCGTGCATTTTGTAAGTGTAAAATCAATGCACTTTAAGACATTGCAAATCGAGAATGGCTGCGTTCTGACCCACCGGTTGTCGAATATCAGGCCACCAACAATGTCCAATGACATATATCCAATTTATATAGCGGATTTTTTTTTGTAGTCAAGTTCAACAACATATTACCTGTGCGTTTCTTTTTTTGAAGAGTGTATTACAGGGTACATCGAGCATGGCAGGATAGTCTTGGGAGAAGCAGGTCTTAGACATTTACTATCTGGTTACTTCATGATAATCTACGCTTTAAAAAAAGTCATCTATACTACGGAATAAAACCCTGCTAAGATCAGAAAAGACATTGCGAAGACATATTATATTATGAGGCAATGTTGTGGGACAATGTATTGTAATCATATTGTGGACATTTCAGTCTGTTGACGTCACCACTGTACATAGTTACAGTGAGTAAGTGAGTTGGGTTTAACGCCGCTTTTAACAGTATTCCAGTTATATATGTCAACTTAATGTGGGAGGAAAGCCCGAAGTGATGCAGGTTTCAGACGTTTACCACTTCGGTGAAACCAACGAGCACGGGTATGGTGCTGACAAACCTAGAAACATTATCGGGGCGAACCGGGATTCGAAACCACAATCATAGGTTTCTGGCGTGCCCAAGGGACGCAACTCTGCACAGCGAATCGCGGCGCCTCATGATCAGTCGACTGGGCCACGCTAGCCACTCCAGAGTTACAGTGAACACTATAACATAGGAGAAGTCGTGCCTCCGGTGCGTTTGCTTTTGATTGTTTGTTGTTTTACGCCGCAGTCATGAATATGTTACAGTACCCTGTACATAGATGAATCTTATGAATGCAAACAAGTGGTTCAGATCATGAGCAACGTCTCATAACATCGGTATAAAACACAGCAGTCAAATCACCGAACCTGACCACAAGGTCCAATTGTGTATCCTCTTAGGCCATGCAATAGATAACTGGAAAGTTTTTCCATCTCCCTGTTTTCCTCTGTCATCTATCAGGCCGGTGGGGACCCTGGTTGTTAAACGCTGAAAGCCCGAGTTCGATTCCCTTTGTAGGTACAATGTGTGAAACATGCACGTGTGTGTGTGTGTATGTACGGGTGTGCGTGTGAGAGGGTGTTTGTGTTTGTGTGTTCTCTGGGTAGATGCTCCGTCCAGTAGACAAGGAGGGGGTCCGAATATATATGATTCGAATAAATATGTTACTCTTAACGAGGCCAATATGCGAAAACAAGAACCGAGGCCCCGACCCATGAGGTGGCCGACCGGACATTATGAAAAGTTTTAACTGCCCTCGTTTCATTATAGTAACCGGCGAACCGTGAAACGTTACGACCAGACGCCATCTTGTTTTCTAGAGATGCAATATTTATTACGTGACAGGTCAATAAAAGAAAAGTAATCACGTGTTATCAAAGGCGAATCTGGTATTTCAAACCAACCAGCAGTGAGTCCTGGTACGAACAGCCATACATATGTTATTTTGTTCGTATTATTGCACAAGTGTGTCTCCATAGTTCCAGGGTGCAGTGTATGCTTTCTTTCCTTTGTTAATATTTCATAGTAATACTGACAATAAAGAGTGAGTGAGTGAGTGAGTTGGGTTTTACGCCGCTTTTAACATTATTCCAGTTATATCACGGCGTGTCAGCTTAATGTGGGAGGTAAGCCCGAAGTGATGCAGGTCTCAGACGTTACCTTTTCAGGTCTCAGACGTTACCTTTTCGGTGAAACCAACGAGCACGGGTATGGTGCTGACAAACCTAGAAACATAATCGGGGCGAACCGGGATTCGAACCCACAATCATAGGTTTCTGGCGTGCCCAAGGGACGCAACTCTGCACAGCGAATCGCGGCGCCTTAGATGACTGGGCCACCCGTGCCTCCCATACCAGGAAGAAGATAGCGTCGCCCAATTACAATGGCGGTCCCGACAATCGGATTGTACCCAAGCACAATGTGCGAGTGCGCCTGTCGCCTTCATATCGGCTCAATCAGTAAGCTTGGTTGACCTGTCACCTACATTTCCAGGAAAGCGTCGCTTACCAGGAAGAAGATAGCCTTGCAAGATTAAAATGGCGGTTCTGACCGTGCACACTGAACCTCGCAAGGCAAAATACAAGCTGTGTGATGATGCATCTGGTACGTTGGAAAACTCGGGGACCAGTTGCTGTGTTGTGGAACATCGTCCACATCAAAGGGACGCTACTGCAGGACACTGCGACGGAGACTCACGCAGGGCGAAGCTGTACTTCGGTGTAGCTCTGCTGTTTGTGTCACTGGCGGTCAATATCATGGGCGTAGTGTACTTCTGGAGAGCTGTTCGGGGCGACACGGATGACAGCCCGCGAGCAGAGGCTCTTGTGTCGCTGTTGCACGATGAGGGCACGGTTTGCACGGACTGCGGGTCACTGGGTGTTCAGCCGGGCACTTACAAGTCTGACTTGCACGGGCTTTACGTGCGTCGTGTGACGGGATCATCCTATTTGTGTTGTTTACAAAATGCTGAAGGATTATGGAGACTCGCGTCAGTGGTGAGTAGTGAGTGAGTGAGTATGCTTTTACGCCGCTTTTAGCAATATTCCAGCAATATCACGGCGGGGAACACCAGAAATGGGCTTCACACATTGTACCCATGCCGGGAATCGAACCCGGGTCTTCGGCGTGACGAGCTAACGCTTAACCACTAGGCTACCCGACCGCCCCGTCAGTGGTGAGTGAACACAATCAAGAAAGACTGTGAACGATTCGGGGTTTGTATTTGAAACAGACATATTGCAAGAATTTAATTGGTACGG